TGGCCCAGGGTTGGGGGCCAGCTCTCCCTCTGCCACCACGTTGTTGTACCAAGGAGTCTGAGAATGCTAAATTCAACCACAGCCTTTGGGAAGTTAGGAGAAGAGAGCATTTTTTTTTTTTTTTTTTTTTAACAGATAGAGAGGTCAGGCATGAGAGAAGTTTGGAACCCAGTTCCTTCCTTCCTTCCTTCCTTCCTTCCTTCCTTCCTTCCTTCCTTCCTTCCTTCCTAAAATATACTTTTATTGATTTCAGAAAGGAAGGGAGAGAGAGAGAGAGAGAGAGAGAGAGAGAGAAACATCAATGATGAGAGAGAATCATTGATTGGCTGCCTTCTGCACACCCCACACTGGGGATCAAGCCTGCAACCCGGGCATGTGCCCTTGACCAGAATTGAACCTGGGGCCCTTCAGTCCGCAGGCCAACTCTCTATCCACTGAGCCAAACCAGTTAGGGCAAAGGAACAGTTTTTCAATTAACAATTTGTTAGCTTGATTTAGAGCTCTTAATTATTTAGACATCAGGCAAATGAAGGATGAATGTCATTTCACACCATGTTCCAGTTTTTGTGACCTTGGACTAAGAAAACAAAATCTTAGAAACTGGCTTTATATGCTTGAGTAATTTTCTAGAATTCCCAAGTTCATTAGCTTCTGTGATGAGTCACAGTTGTTCCTAAAATAAACTTTATGTTATCTTTAAAAATCTAGGGATATTATCTAGGTCAGTAATTAGAAGGTGCTTGACTCAACATTTCTGTGAATGAAAGCGTGTGAGTGACTAAAAACAGGACAATTATTACCAGAGGGTTGCACCTCAGTATATTGCTTGTGAAGTTGTTGCCACTGACGCATGCTGGCTGCAGAGGGGGCAGGGAACACCAGCGGCCATGCCTGTCTGGGATGGTAGGGGATGTGGGGGGGCAAAGCAGAGAGAGATGGGCCCTGTTTTAGGCACAGATGAATCTTACGAGAAGAAAATGTAGAAGAAAAGAAAAGGTGGACTGTGGAGATTAAAGTGGCAACTACAGAACTTGAATGGCAAAGGGGAGGAACCGATTTAGCCATGCGAAAATACTTACCAGAAATTGAATCCATTGACAAAATCAACTCACAGTGGATCAAAGACCTACATGTAAGATCTTAGCAATAGGGAGATTCATAAAGGGGGAAACATTCCTGGTTATTACTTTTTTTAAAATTTTAAATTTCTTTTAGTCTATATTTTTTATTATTTTATTTTTCCATCATCATTTATCCCCCCCCCCCATGCCCTCTTCCACGTCCACCCACCCTTCTCCCTCCTCAATCACCACACTTTTGTCCATGAGTTTTTTCAATCCCTCCACACCTCCCCCCACCCAACATTCTCATCTGTGGAATCTAATGAACAAACTGAACTACCAAGCAAAATAGAGACAGACTCATAGATAGAGAGCAGGGAGACAGCTGGGGGGGGGGGTGGGTAGGGGATGATAGTTTATAGTTTTTATTACGAAGAATTTCAAGTACATATAAATTTAGACAAAACATGCCGGGGTCCAACCCCAGCAGGTCCAGGGGTTCCCAAAGGTGTGGACGGAGTCGGCGAAGAAGGAATGACACGAAGACAGTGTTCAGTTGATCAGCAGCCTAGCCAGGATCTCCAGCCAGGATCTCCAGCCAAGTTCTGGTCTGGATCTCCAGAGAGGTTCTGCTTCAGATCTCCAGCCAGGTTCTGTGTCCATGTTCTCTTGCTAGGTTCTCCAGCCAGGTTCAGTCCAGGTTCTCCAGCCAGGTTCAGTCACCAGGTTCTAGTCAGGTTCTCTTGCCAATTTCTGTAGTCAGGTTCAGTCCAGGATCTTTTGCCATGTTCTCTCGCTAGGTTCTGTCTCTAGGTTCTGAGGCCAGTTTCTGTCCAGGATCTTTTGCCATGTTCTCTCCAGCGAAGTTCTTCTGTCTCTAGAGAACGTTCTGTGTAGGTTCTGTGCCTAGGTTCCGTCTCTCTTGGTTCCGTATACTAAGTTCTGTGTCTTGCTGTCTTATTACATCTGTATTTATACCAGTTGATTCAATCCTATCAATCTCTATTTCAAAGGTTAGGGCATTTCTTATCTCCATTCCAGGGAGTAAAGATTATGTAGCTTAAGCATGATTGTTTGTAGTTAAAGCGATTAATTACCCACCTGGCACTTAGTTAAGAGGTTTTATTCCCTCCCTAACTTCAGGGGAAAATCCCTACCTGGGGAAACAACCTTTCTCAGAGACCTTGGTTAAAACACATAGTGCCAAGAAGGTGAGCAAACATATTAAGAACAGTATGCCATATATGCCAGGTCCCTTGAAACAGCAAGGATGGACCGGCTCCTGGCAAAAACACAATAATGTACCCTCAGGTCCTCCTCACCCACCCCCAAAACCAGCATCATCTGGAAAAGGTCCCCTGGCTCTTCCTTCCCGCCTGGCGCAGCCACCAGGTAAACCCAGGTGGGCGCTTCAAGTGCATCCAGGAGCGATGGAGGAAGCAGCAGTCCGAGGTCACGGCTTCCTCCTCAGGGTGCGCTGCTGGCAGTGGCGCCGGCTCTCTGCGCTCCACAGCCTCCCCCCACCTGGCCCGACAAAGCAGCCAAGCTGGGGTACAAGGCCCAGCAAGGTTATGCCATATATCGGGTTGGTGGTGGCCGCAGACGCCCTGTGCTTAAGGCAAGCCTGTCCGTCATGGTGTTAACCAGCTAAAGTTCGCTCAGAGTCGTCAGTCTGTCGCCGAGGAGCAAGCTGGATGCCACTGTGGGGCTGTGGGAGTTCTGAATTCTTCCTGGGTTGGTGAAGATTCCACCTACCAATTCTCTGAGGTTTTCCTCATTGAGCCATTCCATAAGGCTATCAGAAGAACTCCTGACACCCAGTGGATCACCAAGCCAGTCCACAAGCACAGGGAGATGCAAGCGCCGTGGCCTTGGGAAGGGCCCCCAGTTCCACCACTGTTGGTGGGTCTCGCCAGTGCAGCTTGGAGAAGGCGCCGTACTCTCCAGCTGCACCGTTACCGCTGATATAAATAGTGCTTGTAAAATTCTTACCTAATACAGAGTTTACAACAGCTTCTCTTTGGTACATCTGGATTGCCAGCATCACGACTCTTGCACTTGGGGGCCATTATTAAGTAAAATAAGGGTCACTTGGACACAACCTCTAAGATAACGTGACAGTGGATCTGATCACTGCAGCGGCTACTGACTAACGGGCGGGAAGCACCTCCAGCATGGAGACACTGGGCAAAGCGACGGCCATGTTCAGGGTGGGATGGCACAAGACTTCCTCCTGCTCCTCAGAAGAGCGAGCGAGTCGAAACTTATAAATTGTTTATTGCTGGGATTTTGGTAGAGTTGAAAGAGGTTCGACCACGTTCTAGAGCAATTGGCAGCATCTGGTGAAGCTGAAAATAGGTATACTGCCAAGACCTGGCAATTTCACTCACACGTAAATACCCTAGAGAAACTCTTGCACATTTGCTTAAGAATGTCATAACAATATTCTTTGTAAGAGTAAAATACTTGCAATGGGGTAAATGTCCTTTATCAAGTTAGATAATTACACTGTCATTGGCATACAACGCAAGAGTATATAGAAGTTAAAATGAATGATTTAGAACTACATGTATTGTGTTTTCGGATAAATCTAAAAAACAGGTTGCAGAGCAGTGAGAAAAGCAAATTATAGAATGATATGTACAGTACATATAACATCATTATTTGAAAAACACAATATGTACACATGTATGTAGATATACACAGACATATATATAAATATTCTGCAGAAAGTATATATATAGTTCTCTGCAGAAGAAAAAGGACTACATATTTATAAAGGGATTCCCCCCCCCCGCCCCCATAATTATTTTTCTTTTAATGCAGGAAAGGAAGAAGGAGGGGAGGGAGAAAGGAGGAAGGAAAATGGAAGGAAAGACCTAAACTAAACACGATGAAGCTTTGTGGTAGATTCCAGGGTGTTAAATTGCTCTTTATACTTTTCTTCACAAGTATTCTTTTATCCCCCCCAAAAATACTTAGCCCTTGTAAACATTCCAGAAAACACATAAAAAGGTGAAACAAAGTAATCTCTCATTCAAAGAAAATTAATCTTTTAAAAAATATATATATTTTATTGATTTTTTACAGAGAGGAAGGGAGAGGGATAGAGAGTTAGAAACATCGATCAGCTGCCTCCTTCACACCCTCTACTGGGGATTTGCCTGCAACCAAGGTACATGCCCTTGACCGGAATCAAACCTGGGACCCTTGAGTCCGCAGGCCAATGCTCTACCCACTGAGCAAAACTGGTCAGGGCAAGAAAATTAATCTTAACATTTACTGTATATTCTTCCAGACTGTGCTATACGTTCATTAGCCTGCTCGTCATATACATAATTTTTTGGTATCTTTCCTGGAGAGGTCAAAATTTCTCAAAAACATTCTGATGCATGAGGTGAATGATACTGACATCTGTTCTTTTTCTGAGTCTTTGGAAGGGTTCCTTTCCTTCATTCTACAGTATTTTCTCATGGTTCCATAGTCCTGTTGACAAGTAGACTGTGTGGCTTGTCCTTTGCCCACTCTCCACTTGGGGGCTATCTCAGTCCATCTCAGATCTAGTCGAATGAAGGCTGTGTGTACACACACCGGTCTCAAACCAAGTCTCCCTGTCCGACAGGCATGCATTGAGAGCACCCTTGCTGTCTGAAATGAGAAATCTCCTAAATGCATCACCTGACTTCTGACATCCTTAAAACAGACTATGTAAATTGATGAGAAACTACAATCCCCGTGGGGCTCTGCTCCCAGGTGCCCCCCTCCCCCCCCCGCCCCGCCCCGCCCCGCGCCTTCACCGCTGCGCCTGCGCATTCTGAACGCGGACTACAAGTCCCAGGATGCATCGTACTGCCATCGGCTTAGCTGCACTTCCTGCCGCGAGCGTCTTGGGTAATTGTGGCTCAGCGAATCTTGGAAAAGTTCAAGGTGGGAGGGGTTTGTGGGCCGCTAGGGAAGCTTTTGGGAGTAGCTTGTTTGTTTTCTGTCTCAAAAAGTAGCCGGTCTGCAGCCGGCATGTGGCTGTTGAGTTTCTAGGGTGCACAGTTTTTGCTTTTCTGAACCGGTTTGCTTTTCTGAACCGGGCGAGGGGCCGTGGCGCCGCACCTCGCGCAGGCCCCGCGCCGGTGGCTCGCGCTTGCCTTGAAGTTGTCAGAAATCCCTCCCAGGGCCGAGATAGGCTGGCATCCTGGCCTTGATGGGAGTGGTGGATTTTTTTTTTTTTTCTTTTTTCCCCACAGACACCTGGTGGGAAATGAGAAGACTCTAGCGGAGTCTGCAAGTCAGATATTTCCCCCTGGAAACCCAGGCAGCGTCCTTGAACGACTGCCCTTGCAGTTTCGCACTTGGCTTTAGTTGGGCCTGGGATCCCTATTGTATGATCTTTGGACTCGTAATTTTTGGTGTTTCAACCCTGGAGGAATGCCTGTGTGTCAGGGGACGTGGGGAAGCCCCCAGCTGCAGTGATGGACGGAGACCCTCGTTGCAGGGTGCCCCCCAAAATGTGCACACACTTCAACAGCTGATAGCTCAGTTTTGAAAATGAAACGTGCCTTTATAATTATTCAAAGTGTGTATACATTTTTGGGGGGGGACACTATATATATATAGTATGTCATCCTTAATATACATAATTCATTGGAAACTACCATCCTCACCACAGGCCCCAGAACACACCATTCCAATTCAGGAGTGAGAGGAATGTTGGAGTGAAATGGGTTTGAAGAGTGCGTGGTGGATGGGAGATTGAGCAGGTAAGAGGTGACCCTAACTTACTTTTTCAAAAAAAAGCCCCATTGAGGAGAAAGATGAAATGGTGGCTTGAGGCCTAGCTCTGCTATGCATTAACTCTTGACTCTCATACAGGGTCGTGTACCTCTTTGAGTCCGGTTCCTCGTCTGTAAAATGAGGATGGCTTTCGCTTTCCTCCCCACGTGACAGTTTGGTAAGGCAATTCAAACTAAAGCAGTGAACGTGGTTCTTAAACTCCAGAGCCACCCGCAGATGCGTAGGTAACCATAGTAACTGTACTGCGGCGAGTGATCGGAAAAGCCAGGTCCACCAGGCATGCCGGTTAAGAGGAGAGTCGGACTGATGGCCATGGGGGTCAGGGCTGGGAAGTAAAGCAGGTGCCTCGGGGAAGGTCATGGGGATCTGGCCCCTTTCACTTGCTTCCTGCCTGTGCTGAGCGGAAAGGCACGCTCTGCTGCAGATGTTCTGCTCACCAGGATTCTTTTGTCTTCTCCTGAGGTTGTTGCTTTGGACAACAAGAAAGATGTTAGATTCCAGAGAACTTTATAAATACTCTGACCCAACCCCACCATAATTATTCGCACGCACAGGCATTTTTTTTTAAAGTCTAAAGGAATATACACTCACATGGAACCTTATCTATGTCTTCTTGCTTGTATAGAGGTACAAACAATTTCTAGGTTTTGTCCCCTCTGATAAAACATAATTTTTCTTTTTTAAAATATATTTTTATTGATTTCAGAGAGAAAGGGAGAGAGAAAGAGAGATAGAAACATCAATGATGAGAGAGAATCATTGATCGGATGCCTCCTGCACTCTCCCTACTGGGGATTGAGCCCGCAACCCAGGCATGCGCCCTTGACCAGAATCGAACCCTGGAACCTTCAGTCCACAGGCCGATGCTCTAGCCACTGAGACAAACCGGCTAGGGCCATAATTTTTCTGATATGTGGGTTAGTGCTTATAAGAAAAATACTTAATTTTTATAAAGATAGTACGGACCTGGTCATTATATAACATCATATCTGATTTTAACTTCTTGTGAGGACATATAGGCAGGAAGCAAAGTAGATTTCATGTAGAAGAAAGATGAGGGCCGGATATTTGAGGTTTTTGTTTTAGTCTTTCTGCTTCCTGTAGTATCTGACTAACTCTAGTTGTAATGTTTCATGTTTATTTAAGGTGTGGGCAGATGGTGAAAAAAATAGACACTTGGTTTCTATCTTCTGAGCTCTGTTTTTGCTTCTTGATTTTTACTTCTTTCTATTGTTATGAGAAATAAATGGGAGGGAGAGCCATATTTAAGAATGGTGGATTCTTTTAGCAGTTTTTTGTTTTGTTTTGTTTTTTTCCGACCCAAGGCCATTTCTTCACCTAGAGAGGAATGTGGAGTTTGGAGGAATGTTTGTTTTTCTGTCATCCAATTTAGGATGGCGGGACTTGCGTGGGGAACAGTGGTGACCCTGACCTTCCTTTAAGATTACAAGATAATTTCTTGTCTAAATATTAGGGATGGGATCATAAAAGGTTCATTGTTAAGTGCTCTGTTTCCCAGGTGGAAAAAATTCTGATTTAAGTGGAATTACTCTCTGCTTTCCTGTGTATTTTGTTTTAGACATGTTCATAATAAAAAAAAAAAACCAGTACTTTCAAATTTATTATTTTCAAATTAAGGGTAATTGATGTTGATTTAATTCAATGCCAAATTGAGACTAATTGATAACCTGTCCAAGGCATTAGAGTATCTTGATGAATCCTTGCCTAATGGAATAGCCTAGGATAAATTTGAGTAAGACTCCACATATAATGTTGTTTATTTTAGTGGTGGGATATCCAGATCTGTATCCTTTCTGACAATTAAAGCATCTGGCAGAGATGGAAGTCTCAACCTCTAATATTAACCTTGTTTCATAGCCTCGGACTTTCTGTTACCCGATGGGGACCTGTCGGGAGTGGGTCTGCCTCAGGCTGGCATGTGGTGTGTGGGTTCTTGACGTCTTGCAGGAAAGGTTTCACAAAACGAGTCCAGGTGATTTTGAGGGAACATTTAATAAACCCGGGGACAGTAAAACAAAGGAAAGGTTTAGGGTAGAAGAAGCAACAGGTGAGAGCCTAGGTGGTGCTCTCTCTGCCTCCCTAGAAACTTTGTAGGACAGAAGTGAGCCCGGGTGGGCTGCTGTTAGCTCACTGGAGACAGGGCCAGGGAGTAAGCACAGGATGAGCTGCTGCTGCCCGCTGCTCCCTGGTTGCAAGTCTCATGGGGACCCTCAGAGTTTAGGAGGAAGTAAAAAGTTCATGCCCAAGAAGAGGCATGGGCGTGCTCTAAAGCAAGCCCATGCTGGTGTTTTTTGTCCTGAGGGTCTTATCTCTCTTCTGTGGGCGAGAATCTTAGGGGAGGGTTTCAGCAAAATATTCATCAGCTTTCCAGGTGCATTTTTAATACGCTGGTGCATCTAAATGAGTGTATAGGGGAGTTTGGGATTATTCTTTGGTCTGCTTTACTTTTATTTTGAGTCTGGCTCTAATTGTTTGTATTTATTTATTTATTTATTTATTTATTTATTTATTTCCCTGACTTCATCTGTCCTTGGGTTTGGCTGGCACAAATGGCATTAATTGTATCTTTGCAGATTTTTTTTCCTTCATTCTATAGGTTGTCTTTTCACTGCCTTGATAGTATTTATTGTAGCACAAGTTTTTAATGTTGAGTAAGTCCAAATTTATTTTTTCTTTAATTACTTGTTCTTTTGGTATCCTATCTAAGAAATCATTGCCTAACCTAAGGATGTGAAGATTTATATCTACATTTCCTTCTAAGACTTTTACAGTTTTAGTTCTTTTTTTTTAAATTAAATCTTTATTGTTCAGATTATTACATTAGTTACTCTTTTTTCCCACCATAACTCCCCTCCACCCAGTTCCCACCCCACCCTCCGCCCTCACTCCCCACCCATTGTCCTCATCCATAGGTGCACGATTATTGTCCAATCTCTTCCCTCACCCGACGCCCCCTCCCCCCCTCCCCAAGAATAGTCCATTCCCTTTCTATGTCCCTGATTCTATTACAATCGCCAGTTCATACTGTTCATCAGATTATTTATTCCCTTGATTTTTAGATTCACTTGTTAATAGATGTGTATTTGTTGTTCATAATTTGTATCTTTACCTTTTTCTTCTTCTTCCTCTTCTTAAAGGATACCTTTCAGCATTTCATATAATACTGGTTTGGTGGTGATGAACTCCTTTAGCTTTTTCTTTATCTGTGAAGCTCTTTATCTGGCCTTCACTTCTGAATGATAGTTTTGCTGGATAAAGTAGTCTTGGTTGTAGGTTCTTGGTATTCATCACTTTGAATATTTCTTGCCACTCCCTTCTGGCCTGCAAAGTTTCTGTTGAGAAATCAGCTGACAGTCGTATGGGTACTCCCTTGTAGGTAACTGAGTTTCTTTCTCTTGCTGCTTTTAGGATTCTCTCTTTGTCTTTTGCTCTTGGCATTTTAATTATGATGTGTCTTGGTGTGGTCCTCTTTGGATTCCTTTTGTTTGGGGTTCTCTGCGCTTCCTGGACTTGTAAGTCTATTTCTTTCACCAGGTAGGGGAAGTTTTCTGTCATTATTTCTTCAAAGAGGTTTTCAATATCTTGCTCTCTCTCTTCTTCTGGCACCCCTATAATTCGGATGTTGGTACGCTTGAAGCTGTCCCAGAGGCTCCTTACACTGTCTTCGTATTTTTGGATTCTTTTTTCATTTTGCTTTTCCGGTTGGGTGTTTTTTGTTTCTTCGTATTTCAAATCTTTGACTTGATTCTTGCGATCGTCTGGTCTGTTGTTGGGAGTCTGTATAATGTTCTTTATTTCAGTCAGTGTATGCTTAATTTCTAGTTGGTCCTTTATCACAACATCGAGGGTCTCACTAGATTTCTTGAGGATCTCACTACATTTATCGGCGGTCTCACCAGTCTTTTCGAGGGCCTTATTAAGTTTATCAGCGGCTTCTAGACAGTTCTTTAAAGACCTTAAAAGTGTGGATTTGAACTCTATATCCAGCAGTTTGCTTTCCTCCCATTCTGTCGTTTGTGTCCTGTTTCTTTGTCTCGGCATTTTTTATGCTTCGCTGTGTCGATAGAGTGCCTTTCTGTGCTAAGTGTCCCAATTACCTGAGGTAGACACTCTTGGTGCACCCCCTTGTGGGCTTTGTGCACAGTCTTGTTGTAATTAAGCCTTGATTGTTGTAGGTATCACTGTGAGGAATTGACCTCCAGGCCAATTGGCTGTGAGAATCAGCTGTGTCTGAAGTGGGAGAACTTCTGTGCTGGAGACACCCCTCAGGGGGTAGACTTGCTTCGATGGGGCTTTGGTGCTCACTGAGTCTGCCCCCTGAGTGTGTCTATTATGGTTCCACGGAGCTGCAAACTGGATGGTCCCACTCTGACCTCTGGGCTTCCTGGCTCCTGGATCTCTAGGGAGGTGCTAATCTAGCCTTTGCCTGAGGCTATCCAGCAAAAGTCTCCCTGCAGGGCTTGGGCGGGGCAGGTCCCATGGGATCAACAGGGCGGGGTTAGCAATTATGGCTGCTCTCAGTCTTGCCCTCAGAGGCTCTGCTTCTCAGTGTCCCAGTAATTGCTGCAAGCCCCACGGAGAGAAAGCTGCCCTAGGGTTCTGAGCGATGCCAGATAGTCCTGCTTCTCCCATTTGAGTCTGGGTCCCTAGAGACTCGCCCAGAGCTGGAGCTCAGAGCCTGAGACTCCCTCCCGATTGAAAACAACAACCACGCCCTCAGCCGCCAGCCCGCTCCGCATGCACTCCGCACCTTAGTATTTTACTTCAGCACTGCACCTCCTCTGAGTCTTGGTATGTTTTTCTCTTTCCTCCTAGTTGTAGAACTTCCACTCAGCCAGCCTTCCTGTGGTTCTGGATGATGTCCGTTCTGTCTTTTTGTTGTGTTTTTGAAGTGGTTGTTCGAGGCAGCAAACTCTGGTGTTTACCTATGCCGCCATCTTGGTTT